CCTCCGCCTCCTGGGTTCAGGCAATTCTCCTGCCTCAGCCTCCTGAGTAGCTGGGATTACAGGCGCACGCCACCATGCCCAGCTAATTTTTTGTATTTTTAGTAGAGACAGGGTTTCACCATGTTGACCAGGATGGTCTCGATCTCTTGACCTCGTGATCCACCCGCCTCTGCCTCCCAAAGTGCTGGGATTACAGGCTTGAGCCACTGCGCCCGGCCTCCAAAATGTGTTTTCAAGAATGTTTGTTCAAAGGGAAGTTCCATAGGATAGTCCTGAAGTCAAATAAATGGAAAGGAATGAAGGCCCAGGTCCCCCCACACTCTCACCCTAGTAGTCACATGAGTATTTCTGACCGTTCCTGCAGTAAAGAAATTGTTACCGTTTAAGCTGGGCATGGTGGCACTTGCCTGTAGTCTCAGCTGTTTGGGAGGTGGAGGCAGGAGGATCCCTTGAGCCCCGGGAGTTTTGAGTCCAGCCTGGGCAACATAGCAAGACCCTCTGTTTCAAAAAAAAAAAAAAAAAAAAAAAAAAGGAAAAAAAAAGAAATGAGATTAAGTAAACCAAGTGTTACCAAGCTTATCTGACCTTAGACTTTCTTCTTCCTCTCTGCATACATTTTTCCCTTAAGAACTTAATAACCCTATTGGAGCACTTTGGCAGATGCTTTCCTGGCTCATGGAGTTGCAGATGTACAATTAGGCTTGGCTGAATATTTACACGGAATTCTAGAACTGAATGCATCTACCCTAGAATTCCAAAGAATTTTTGAAATTCAGGAAAGAAAATGTCAGGATTTTGGCCTTTGGTAGGTTGGCCAGTGTTGATCCCTTCACAGGAACACATTCCTAAAAGAACACTGGCTGTCATCAAGAGGAGGTACTTTATGTTGACAATTAGATCAGTCAGTTCTCTTTCAACAAAGGGAAGAATTTGGAAAGACAGTCTGACTCCTGTGAGAGACATTATAGCAGTTGAGTAAGACTTAATAAGGGAGCTGTCAGTAGGTATAGTTTAAACTTTCAAAAAGCCTTTTACATTGCCTTTTTAAAATGGAAGAGACAGTAATTTAAAAATTGATTACTTCAGGATTTAGGAAAATAGATTTTCTTCATGAATTAGAAGAAAAGTTTATGGTTACGAAACTTAAAAAGGCAGTTAACAAATGACTGTTACTGTGCTTGATCTTATTGAATGTTTTTATATGTGTTTATAGGGAATATATGCCATTTTCAAGCTTTTCCAAGATGAGGAAGCAAAGTCCCTAACAATAACTAGATATGTTCTAGGTGCTTGATTTCTTTTTTAAAATGTTTCTCTCTCTCTCTCTCTCTCTCCCTCTCCCTCTCTCTCTCTCTCCCTCTCTCTCTCTCTCTCTCTCTCTCTCTCTCTCTCTCTCTCTCTCTCTCTCTCTCTCTCTCTCTCTCTCTCATTCTCTCTCTCTCTCTCTCTCTCTCTTTCATTTGAGTCAGGATCTCAGGGTCTTGCCTTGTCACCCAGGATGGTGTGCAGTGGTGCAGTCATAGCTCACTGCAGACTTTGATTCCCGGCTCAAGCAGTTCTTCTGCCTCAGCCTCCCTAGTAGCTGGGACAACAGGCACACGTTGCCATGCCCAGTTAATTTTTAAATTTCTTTGTATAGACAAGCATCTCAATATCTTGTCCAGGCCAGTCTCAAACTCCTGGCCTCAAATGATCCTTGCACGTCAGCCTCCCAAAGTGTTGGAATTAAAGGCGTGAGTTACTACTTCCAGCTCTCTTTTAATGTTCTAAATCTAGTGAAAGCAGTGATATTATCCCCATGGACAAATAGAAAAAGTGAGGCTTTGTACTAATGACTTATCTCAGATCACAAAGCAATTCAGTGTTAGAGCCAGGACTGAAAGCAGGTCTGAGTCTGTGGCCCTTGTTCTTTCTACTAAAGTAAGTAAATGAATTCAGTTGATTACAGGAGAGTAAACAAAGCCATGAGGATGAACTGAAAAATGTCTGCTGAGTTATGGTATGGGAAGTCTAAGGTAGTGTGCACTTAGGAAAAAGATCATAAGACTTTTGGGATGATCATCCTTAAGGGTCTCAGTTCTGTATCAGAAAATAGACTGTAGATTGTTTCTTCACTTGATCTTAGCTTAGCCAAAAACTCTTGAGAAGCAATATAGATTATTTCTTGAAGATATTTTGCATTGTGTTTCTGGGACCAGAAATGCCAGCACAATGCTGGGTGTTATTGAAAAATAATCCAGACTGAAAATGTCGTCCTTTTCCTCTTTTGTAAAACTGTGATATATATCTGTTCATAAATCATGGTATACAGTTTATCCATATTTAGAGGACAAAGTGACCTTGAGGTGGACCAGAGAAGGAGAACTTAAATGATTAGAAAATAAAGAACTCCATGTGAGAGAACAGGCTAGAATGATCAGCATCTTCTTTGTTTTTGTTTTTTTGTTTTTTGATTTTGAGACAGTCTCTCTCTGTCACCCAGGCTGAAGGGCAGTGGCATGATTGTGGCTCACTGCAACCTTTGCCTCCCAGGTTCCAGCAGTTCTCCTGCCTCAGCTGCCCAAGTAGCTGGGATTACAGGTGTGCACCAAAACACCTGGCTAATTTTTGTATTTTTAGTAGAGATGGGGTTTTGCCATGTTGGCCAGCCTGGTCTCGAGCTCCCAACCTCAAGTGATCCATACTCCTTGGCCTCCCAAAGTGCTGGGATTACAGGTGTGAGCCACCATGCCCAGCCAGAATCTTCTTTGAATAGATGTAGATATAGAGAGAGGCTTATTGATTTTAAAAGCACAAAGCTTATATAATTAGATTAAGTGCATTTTTACCATATTCTGGAATTCCAGGAATTGGAAGGCAGTTTAAAACCTGAAAGTGACAAATTTAAAATTAATAGATGGAAGCACAGAGCAGTAGTAAAAGTGTTAGGATAAGTTGAGAAACTTATCTGGAGTTCTTTTTTGTTTTCTTTTCTTTTTAAAATACTTGTCCAAAGATAACTGTGCTTCACTCAACTGAGAAAATTCCATCCTCTTGAGAAAAAAAACTAGAGCGTAAAATCTTACTGCGTTTTCATTCTGTCAGAAATTATGAAATACTAACTTGTTAAATCTTTAAGCAGCTTTAAAGAGAGACCTGCAAGGTCAAAGCAGGAAACTAAACAGAAGTGACCTGCAATGTGTTGAGTGTAGTCAGTTACTATGTGCCCACCAGCGGAGCTGCAAGGAAATTGTAACAATTGATTGTTTTTGGTTTGGGATGAATTCAGTGTTACTCCAAAGAGCCAACTCATGATTCTGAGTAATCTCAGTAGCCAGTGGAAAGAGCTTAATCCTAAATGCTACATTGTGTCATTCTGTGGAATTTGCCAAGTTCAGCAGAACTAGATAAGAATGGTACTGACAAGAGCAGCAGACACACACAGGGGTTTTACTTTGCCCTGTCTGAAGCTCCTGTCCTAGGGTAGCTATTTCACAGAGAACTAGACCTGTCAAAGAAGTCACGTGAATATGCCAGACTCTGCATTTCTTAGCTGCCTACTGAAAAGAGTGACACCTCTGGTCAAAGAGTGAATCCTAGTCAAACAAAATAAAATGTCAGCATGCTTCTTAGTTTTGAGACCCTTGGGTTTGGGGTCATAGCATGACATTTCTTAAAACTGAATATGGCCAGGTGCCATGGCTCACACCTGTAATCCCAGCACTTTGGGAAGCCGAGGTGTGTGGATCACTTGAGGTCAGAAGTTTGAGACCAGCCTGGTCAACATGGTGAAACCACGTTTCTACTAAAAATATAAAAACTGGCCAGGTGTGGTGGTGGGCGCCTGTAATCCCAGCTACTCTGGAAGCTGAGGCAGGAGAATCAATCGCTTGAACCCAGGAGGCAGAGATTGCGGTGAGCCGAGATCACGCCACTGCACTCCAGCCTGAGACTCTGTCTCAAAAAAAAAAAAAAAAAAAAAAACCTGAATAAATAATACATTATCATTTTTATGACTTTTTCTTTCCTGTGGTTCTATTAAAATGAGAGCTTTTGGAAATTTTAATTGTTCTTGGTCTAAAACTTTAGGTTATCATTAGCAATTTTTAAAAATCACATTTTTCATTTTATTTGATATGACAAATGTTAAATTCTGACTTGACTTATTATAGATTATTCCAAAAACCTTTTGGCTAACATAGTTTCAAAACCTTGTAAAATGTTTGTATAGCAATTTGTCCTAAAAATACAGTCTCCTCCTGGAGAGTAATACCTCGTGGTTAACAGCAGGGCCTCTCAACACGTGTTTTTGGGTTTGAATACTGCCCCTGCTATGTATTGGGTGTGGAACCTTAGGCAAATTATTTAATCTATATCTCAGTCTCCTCATCTATAAAATGGGATTTTTAATAATTCCTATTTCTGTAGGTTGGTTGTTGCAAGGTGAAAGTTAATGCATGTGGCTGGTTACAGTGTCTCATATCTGTAATCCCAGCATTTTGAGAGCCTAAGGCAGGGAAGATCCCTTAGACCCAGGAGTTCAAGACCAGGCTGGGCAACATAGTGAAACACTATCTCTTTAAAAAATACAAAAATTAGCTGGTTGTGGTGACACACACCTGTCGTCCCAGTACTTGGGAGACTGAGTGGGAGGATTAATTGAGCCCAGGAGTTCGAGGTTGCAGTAAGCTATGATTGCACTCTGGCCTGGGTGACAGAGGAGACCCTGTCTTTAGAAAATATAATAAAACAAGTTAATGTATGTAACATGCTTGGAATAATATTTGTCACTTTAAGTGCTCAGGAAATACTATTGTTTGTTTCCTCATCACATCTCTCACTTATTTTTGTTTTACTTCACATCACTTTATTTTTGGCATATCCTTTTAGGTATATTTCCTTTTGTTTTTTTAAATTAAGAAATTCTGTTTTTTTGAGACAGAGTCTGTTGCCCAGGCTGGAGTATAGTGGCTGGGTCTCAGCTCACTGCAACCCCCACCCCAAAGGCTCAAGTGATTCTTCTGCCTCAGTCTCCCAAGTAGTTGGGATTAAACACAGCTAATTTTTGTATGTTTTTAGTAAAGATCGGGTTTCACCATGTTGGCCAGGCTGGTCTCCAGCTCCTCACCTCAAGTGATCTGCCCACTTCAGTCTCCCAAAGTGCTTGGATTACAGGTGTGAGCCACCGTGCCTGGCCTAGTTATGAAAATTTTAAGTGCATGTAAAAGAGAATAATACAATGGAACTCCATGTAAGTATTGCCCAGATTTAACTCTTATGGAGGTTTTTTATACCTCCCTTAGCATTACATCCCCAAATGCAGTCTTTTCCAGTTCCTGTGCTGTGCTTAGATACCACAACAGCGAAGCTCACTCAGGTTGTTCTAAAGATAGTACAGACTCTGATGTTAGATTATTTTTCATCATTATTTAGAAAAACAGCATGTTTCTTAGCTAAAATTGCTGATGCACAACCTTACGAGTTTAGTATATTTTCTGTCTAGATTTGTCTTTGTATTAGGAGGAATTGGTCTTCCTTTTTTTTTTTTAAGTTTGAATTCTTCTTTACAGTCAGAAGAAGAAGTTGTAGAAGGAGAGAAGGAAGTTGAGGCCTTGAAGAAAAGTGCAGACTGGGTGTCAGACTGGTCCAGTAGACCCGAAAACATTCCACCCAAGTGAGTTCTCACATATTTCTTGTCAGTGGACACAGCGGATCTGCACATACTTATAAGCGGTGGGCCTGGTAACCCCCACGATATTTTCAGCAAGTGACATCTGCCTCTGAATTTCTTTCTCAGGGAGTTCCACTTCAGACACCCTAAACGTTCTGTGTCTCTAAGCATGAGGAAAAGTGGAGCCATGAAGAAAGGGGGTATCTTCTCCGCAGAATTTCTGAAGGTGTTCATTCCGTCTCTCTTCCTTTCTCATGTTTTGGCTTTGGGGCTAGGGTAAGTACTGGTAAACTCCTGAAGTTTTTTCCATTCATTTTATCCTCATATTTTATTTTCAGATTAAAGAAATGTATGTGAAAGCAGTTTTTATTGCTTTACTTTCAATGTTTTAGTGCAAATAAGGTGAACTTAAGAATGATTAAAGTGGGTACACAGTTCTACAAATAAGCATTTTTAATAACAGTAGGGGTTTTTTGCTTATTTAAAAATAAGATGTTTGGCTGGGTGTGGTGGCTCGCGCCTATAATCCTAGCGCTTTGGGAGGCCAAGGCGGGTGCATCACCTGAGGTCAGGAGTTTGAGACCAGCCTGGCCAACATGGTGAAACCTCATCTCTACTAAAAATACAAAAATTAGCTGAGCATGGTGGTACACGCCTATAATCCCAGCTACTTGGGAGGTTGAGGCAGGAGAATTGCTTCAACCCAGGAGGCGGAAGTTGCAGTGAGCCAAGATCATGCCACTGCACTCCAGCATATGTGACAGAGCAAGACTGTGTCCCGGGGGGGAGGGGAGAAGAAAAGATGATGTTAATATTAATCCCCTAGGTGATCATTTTTAAGTGAACTCTTCTGTGATTGATTTTTCTTTTTGGGTTTTGTTGTTTAATATTTAATCTTGAGTAACTTATGAAGTAAACTAATCTTTAGCATATAAATTTTGTGACCGATAAAGTACTTTTTTTCATTTGGGAAAATACATGATTACATTGGATAGTTTTTTTAATGAAACTGGTAGGTTGATTGGGGCTATTTTTTTCCTCTTTTAACTTTGTAGTATTTTCATTTTGCTAAAATCAACCTCATGTTTACCTGTAATTCATAAGTTTTTCAGCCACATCTTTTAAATAAATTGCTTTTTTTCCTTGATTTAAACAATTGAGGAATTACATCTAAAAGATTTTAGAGGTTAAACAGTAGCTGTTAATTTTTTTTTTTTTTTTTTGAGCTGAAGTTTCGCTCTTGTTGCCCAGGCTGGAGTGCAGTGGCGTGATCATGGCTCATCACAACCTCCACCTCCCAGGTTCAAGTGATTCCTCTGCCTCAGCCTCCCAAGTAGCTGAGATTATAGGCATGCGCCACCACACCTGGCTAATTTTGTATTTTTAGTAGAGACAGAGTTTCTCCATGGTGGTCAGGCTGGTCTCGAACTCCCAGCCTCAGGTGATCTGCCTGCCTTTGCCTTCCAAAGTGCTGGGATTTGTGATTTTTTTCAAGACATATGTTATGCTCTAAGCATGCCCAATGGGTCATTTTCAGTATAAGGTATGCAGAAGGTGGGTCATCCTTTTTCTTCCCTTCAAGGAAGAAAATTGGAGAGAAAATCAATCTCTTATCAGAGAGAGATTCTCAGTCACGACCTCGGAAATGCACATACAGCTTTCCATACACCATTTTTGCCTCTCCCGGGTGCTTGATGTGCTTTTGTGAGGGCAAGGATAGTAAACACAAACAGCAACCTAGAAGGGCTTTGTGCGGAAGGGCAATGTTTGACCTTTACATGGTGGTTAATTTGGGGCAGGAGTAGGAGTTTCATATGTTGCTGCCTCTACAGCAGTTCATTGCCCATAGGTGGTTTGTTTCTGTACCTTGCCCTGTCTCTTTCAGTCATCTTCAGATTGTCTGTCTTGCTTTAAGTATAACTATTTCTATGGATGAATGTAGAAAGAGGGTTTAAAAAGTTGGTTGCTTTAATTGCACTGGAGGTGGAGCTAGTTACATATTTTCCTTAAGTTCCTTTCTAGTTTTGCTATTGAAGGGGCCAGATACTAGCTTGGCATGAAAAAGTACCATAAGGCCCCTAATCCTTAAGAGTTACTAGTAAGAGCTGTCTTTAAAGTACTAGCAGCTTTTAAGGGTTTTTTGTTTGTTTGTTTGTTTGGTTTTTTTTTTGGTCCTACATAGAGCACCAAAATAATTTCACATATTAGTATAGTTTTATGTCTGAAATGTCAGTAGAACCTTCTGTCCACCAAAGAGGGACACCTCTAAGGAGGTGGGCTACTTTATTTACTCTGTGGAGGGATCTGTTCTCTCGGGCTTTACTTTGTGTAATCACTACCCCTTGGCTGTCTAGTCCCGATTTAATGAGTAATCATCTAAAACCAGTTTGACTGGGCTTGTGATTGGTTTAAGAAAGTCAGTGGTGATTTCATGGTGTTTGGGGAGCGGTGCCCATAAACCTTTAGAGTCTTTTACAAAGACTGAAGAGTTTAGAGTTCAGCCTGTGGACAAGCTGGTGCAGAACTGTTGAAACAGGTGAAACATGATGCCTCTGCTTCCTTTCAGCATCTATATTGGAAAGCGACTGAGCACACCCTCTGCCAGCACCTACTGAGGGAAAGGAAAAGCCCCTGGAAATGCGTGTGACCTGTGAAGTGGTGTATTGTCACAGTAGCTTATTTGAAATTGAGACCATTGTAAGCATGACCCAGCCTACCACCCTGTTTTTACATATCCAATTCCAGTAACTCTCAAATCCAGTATTTTATTCAAACTCTGTTGAGGCATTTTACTAACCTTATACCCTTTTTGGCCTGTAGGACATTTTAGAATTTCCTAACAGAGTTTACTGTTGTTTAGAAATTTGCAAGGGCTTCTTTTCCGCAAATGGCCACCAGCAGAATATAATTTTGTCAACAATGCTATTATCTCTAATTAGTACCACCAGACTAGACCTGTATCATTCATGGTATAAATTTTACTCTTTCCACATAACTACCATTTCTCTCTTAAACTGAGATCAGGTTAGCAAATGATGTCAAAGAAGCTTTATTTTCTAGTTGGTTTTTTCCCTCAAGACAAAGACAAGCTTCCCTAAGCTTGAGTAGATAGTTATTAAAAAGAAAACAAACAAACAAAAAAAGCAAGACACAAGAAAAAAAAACATCCTGGGCAATAAAAAATTATTTTAAACCAGCTTTGGAGCCACTTTTTTGTCTAAGCCTCCTAATAGCGCCTTTTAATTTGTAGGAGGCAAGCTGTATAAATGATAGGTATGAAATAGAGTAAGAACTAAAATACATCAGCAGATTTTCATACTAGTATGTTGTAATGCTGTCTTTTCTATATGGTGTAGCATCTTTCTGATAAGGAACGTCTCAGGCCTAGAAATATATGAAATTGCTTTTTGAGATTTTTTTGTGTGTGTTTGGTATTTTTTACATTAATTAGCTGCATGTGAATTTTTCGTGACTTTAAATTTTTAAAAAAATTTTTATTTCTTTATTTTTTTCCTCTCTCTAAGAGGCTTTGGAATGAGTTCCAATTCTTGATGTTAATACAGGCTTCTTGTTTTAGGAAGCATCACCTATACTCTGAAGCCTTTAAACTCTGAAGAGAATTGTTTCAGAGTTATTCCAAGCACTTATGCAACTTGGAAAAGCAGACTTGGGTTGTGGGAACAGTTGACAGCGTTCTGAAAAGATGCCATTTGTTTCCTTCTGATCTCTCACTGATTCATGTTTACTGTACAGTCTTCCCAAGGTGATTCCTGCGACTGCAGGCACTGGTCATTTTCTCGTGTAACCGTCTTTTCAGTTATGGTAAGCTCTTCAAGTTCAGAACACTCAGCAGATTCCTTCAATGATATACTTGTTCGTTTGTTTCTAAAATGTGAAGCTTTAGGACCAAATTGTTAGAAAGCATCAGGATGACCAGTTATCTCGAGTAGATGTTCTTGGGTTTCAGAACATCTAGCATGACTCTGAAGGATACCACATGTTTTATATATAAATATTACTGTTTATGATACAGACATTGCTGTTGACATTTAGAGAACCATTGTTAATTTTAAAACTAGCAATCTGTAAAGTGCATCAGGTCAACTTGAATTAAAACACTATGACAGCCAGGTTTGCCAGTTTGCAGGAACTATCTAACTCTTCTCTCTCACATCAAGGTTTGTAAAATTGATGTGTTATAGTGGAAAATAACATACAAATTAAACAAGAAAATTTTTGTCTTTTTTCAAGAACATAGCTGGCTATCTTTAAGAAAGATAATATATCCTAAATAGTTTTCCAAGTAATTTTCTTTTTTCTTTCTAGCATTTGATGTCTAAATAATTTTGGACATCTTTTTATTAGACCATGTTTCTGTCTTACTCATAAACCTGGTCACACTTGGTTTGTCTTCTATAACCTATTTATTTCAAGTGTTCACATTTGAATTTCTCTGGGAAGACAGTAAATCTGATGGCCCACTGATTTTGGAAAAGCCTGAATAAAGTTGGAAAGGCCAGAAAGTTAGGAGAACTGAATAGCTAAACTGCTATAGTATGCAATTTGTATTACAGTTGGTATTACAGGAGGGAAAAGTAAAATTGAACTTTACATGAAAGTGACTTCTTACAGCGGGTGTGTTGTGCTCTTTCCAAGTTCAGTAGCAATTCTGTCAGTAGTGCCATTGAACCTGGGTATATTTATGATTTCTTTCAACGTTAAACATAGTGTGCCCTTTTTCTTAAAGTATCAGTGAAATTACAGAATATTACTTAAAACATGAATACGTCATCACGATAGCATTTATTATGAGAGCATGTAGTATGTATCTGTAGCCCTAACACACAGGATGAACATTTTTACTCCTACTCAGATTTGTGTTGACTGAAGACATTGTGGATTAGAAAGGAGAATTCAGCAATTAGCAGTTGAAATTGTGAGATTCATGTTTAAAAAGCTTTACACCTGTTTACAATTTGGGGACAAAAGGCAGGCTTCATTTTTCCTATGTTTGATGAAAACTGGCTTAAGCTATTCTGTAAATAGAATCAAGAGCAAAACTGCACAGACTTGCACATTGAAAAGTGCAACAAGTTCCCATGATTGCAGTAAAAATATTTACTATTCTGAAAAATGGGAATTGAAAACTTAGCCAGTCGGATGAGTTTTTACATGAACCCGTTGTGGAAACTGTTGGAATTAACTGAGCCAAAGTGATTATGCATCTTTCATCTATTTAGTTAGCACTTTGTATCGTTATATACAGTTTACAATACCTGTATAACTTGTAGCTATAAACATTTTGTGCCATTAAAGCTCTCACAAAACTTCTTCTGTCAGTATATCATTTTTCTGTCAGATGTGTTGCCTGGGAGTTTCGGGCAATGGGGCCTCCTTGCCTGCACACAGCCTTCCAGTCATCTGGTCCCCCGGCAGTGGAGTTCCTCACAGTGCTTGGGTGTGAACGGTGTTCCTGTGGGGACGGTCACCTCGTTGTGAGCATTCGTGAATGCCTCAGGACTGTAGCCTTCAGAGCATTGCCTCCAGGCAGTGGTAGGAGGGTGCTGACGCGGTGAGTGCTCAGGACGTGCAGGAGGAACGCGGAATGTGCCCTGATGGGCACGGCAGTGGGGACACCTGTGAAAGTGGATCCAGAAGAAACTGAACGTTCCACATGCCTGGAAAATAGGATGGATACGTAGAAGACTGAAAATGTAGGTTAGTACTGAACCTAGTCAGTGGGATACCTTTGGGGGTTTATTTCTTTTAAACAGGGAGATGATTTAAGATGTCTATTTTAGACAGGGCATCTGGTGAGGACCGAGTGCCGGAGAAGATCAATCAGTTCTCTAGGCGAGGAGCTAGATCATGCCCTGGGCTGTCACCCTGGGTTTGGTAAGGGTGGGCTTGGTAAAGGTGGGCCAGGATAGGAATGAGAAAGCGGAAGTAAGCAGGTCAGAAAGTGACTTAGGAGGAAGTCATGTGTATTCGTGTGTGTGTGTGTGTGTGTGTGTGTGTGTGTGTGTGACCTGAATACATGTATTGATGACATTAGTTAAAAGAGGACAGGAGAAGAAATGGGGTGATAGGAGCAAAGAGGGGGGATTTCAACTTTGAGAGCATTGAATAGGAAATGTCTGAGGGACTTCTGATTGCACACTTATTAGATAGAACTAGAACCCAGGGAAGGGTCTGGAGTGGAAGTCAAACACGATCACGGCCGTGCATTCTATGTTGATAGGATGTTTAAAGAATAGACCATGGGCGAAGAAGAAACATTAACAGTGAAGCCCACATTTGAAGGTTGAGCAGAAGAGCGACTCGGGGTGAATGATAGTATCACAGAACCCCCAAAAGTTGGAGGAGGTG